TTACCCCAAGGTCATCCATAAAGGCTTGAGCAATCTCTGGAAAAACTTCTTGTATAATCTTCATTATCCTGTGTTGGGCTTGAGCTGGTGAATTTGTTGCCCCTTGAACTAAAGTTGTATGGTGAAAGAGCCCAATAGAGGTTGCAATGGCTGTCATATTCCTGCTCTCTTCAGCTAATGGAAAATTATTGTATCCAGAGAACAAGTTGCATAGGCTAGCCATAACAAGTCTGCTGAAGTCTTCAGCATATTCATCAATATTAGAAGGAATAAAAGCATCTCAAATAGTAACTTTGTTGTACATATGTGCTGCATTGACTAAACAATATTTGCCTTTCTGTTTCTTTGCAACCAGAAAATAGGGGTTGGTATATGAATCATGGCAAGGCTCCAATGTTTTAGCTTCTAACCTGTCCTGAATGATTTTAATTAGCTTATCATATAGAGCATGAGGAATTCAGTAAGTCTTAGTCTGCCAAGCTTCATGAGGCTCTGTCTTAATAACCTGTGGAGGCAAGCATTCAGAATGAATGCCACATAAGTCTTTGAATGACCACACCAACACCCCTTCACATTTATAAAGGACTGATATGAAAAATTCCTTCTCTCAACTTGTTAGTTCAAATTCAATTTTGAGCTTCTCAATTCTCTCATTTGTGAGCTGTTCTCCAACAGGAAAAGGTGTGATTCTAGGTCTAATGTGGTCATCAAATTTACAATTAAACACAACATGTTTCTCCTCAGGGTAATACTTATCCAAACAAACATCCACCCAATTATCTAGGTCTTCTGGTTTGCTTCCATCAGATTTTCCAGGTGCTAACAGTCTTATCTTATCAGCTTTCTGCTTATAAGCAGTGCACACTCTCCAGACTTCTGAAGAAGGCAGCCTGATGTCCCAGCCACTATTGAAAATGTCAACTTGACGCGATTTCTTTGTGACAAAATCATGATTTTTGTTCAGAGATGTGTAAATTGATTGAGCACTTCATGGAATAGGTTTTCAAATTAAGCTGGAATTAATATTGCGTGTGTAATGTTTGCAGTGAGCCATAACACTGTCCGGATCAGGAAGCAGAGAATGGAAAATCCAAACTCCCAATGCAAAATTATTCTTGTTCTCTGATTGGTTCATTTGATTCACCAGCATGCTGGTCAATCCAATTAGGCTTAGTGCACTTTTGGATTCACCATCACCAGAACTATGTTTCTTCTTATCACTGTAGTCATTAATGCTAGTACTGCTGCCAACACTCCCAACTTCTCTATTCTTTTCAACCTCCTGACCTTCAACCTTCTCACCATTAATTCTTATACCCATCATCTTTGTTGCATTTTCTTTATCCTCATCAGGCCTTGTATCCATGGGCACCCGCCTGATTAAATACCCATTGAATCATTTAAATGATCACTGTTCAATTTATCAGTTGCATACCTCATGTTGCTCAAGCTTGGCTTAAAGTCTTCAAAAACTAGGCAACACATTCATTTCTCATTATAAATTTCACAGTTCACTCCTCCATCATCTGAGGTGTTGCATCCCCAACAGGCAGCAAATTGCTGAGGTCTTTCAAGAATAAGTTGCTGATCCCCTCCCTCAAATATAAGGAAAGGGGTATGGGTAATAATGTCTCCAATCTGAACAGGCACTTCATTACAAAATGTGTAAAAAGGAGCAACTTCTCCTGTTTGAACAACCATGGTCACTTGTGGCTTATTTTCCATCAGCAGATTCAACATTTCAGCATACTTCTGAGATAACAAATTGATTTCTGAACCAGTATCAATCAACACCATTAATTCTTGTTGGTTTATAGTGACTGGCGCATATAACAAACACATTCCATATGCTGTTTTGGATTTTGGTACCATGGGCTTCAATGTAAGTCAACCAGAATTGATCTTTAGCTCAGGCTGAACCAGTTCAGAGACTCCAATCTTTGCATGGCTTTTGCTAGTACTGTTATTCCAACCTGATCTGAAGAATGCTTGATGAAGCTTCAGCAATACATCTATAAGCTCCTTGACTGACACTTCAACCTTCCCATTGAGAATTCAACCCATTAATTCATTGGCATCTGTTGAATTGTGGATCTGAGAGGATAAACAATCTGTTGCAGAATATCTTGGTCTTTGTTTCTCCACAGTCTTGTTCTGAATTTCAGGCTTCTTCTGATTGATTGGTTCAATGTCTTCCATGATATCATCATCAACACTAGCTTGATTATCCTGGTAGGTAATAAATTGTCCAGTACACTGAGTATGGGGTGTTGCAATCTTAGCTTTTTGACTGTTCTTAGCTTCTCCAACAGTTCCAACATTAACTGATGTTCTTTCTTCCAGTGGTTCATATTCCTTATCTGAATCAGATTCTCCATCAGACATTAGGTATGCAAGTTGTCCTGCTTGGACCTTCACACTAGTTGAATTTGCTGGAGGTGTCTCTTCTTGCTGATTGGTCTCCTTTTTAGGGCTTGTCAACTCTGGAATTGCTCATTCATCCTCTCCCATAGACCATACAATATACATGTTCAGTATTCCAGGTTTAGGAGTGACAACTTGATAGTTTTGACCAGGGGAACCCATGCACAAGTTCTCTTCATCATCAATATGACAGAACCTGTTATTTGCATTGGATTGGTATTTGTAACACTGAGATTGACAGTGTCCAGGTTTTCCACAGTAAAAGCATGAGGGATGTGTCAAAATTCCTCCAGTTTGAGCTCCTCCTTGGCTACTAGAACAATAGCTTGTCATCAGCAAACCATTTCAAGCCACATAAGAATTGACTAATTGTGGTTGGGTGTTCTCTTGTACTGTTGCAGAATTAGTAGTCACATTTGTTGTATAATTTGGTATGGGTTTCAGAGGCCCTTCTCTCTGCAGCATATAGTACTGATTGGAATTCCCTTGTATCTGATTTGACTGTACTCTCATGGCCAATGCCAAATTTGTAAACTTGTTGGTCATCTTTTCAATTGCAGCTTTAATATTGGTGCTCTCAGAGCTCTTGGCTTTGGATTTCAATTCAGATTCTTCAGTCTTCACAGAACTAGCTGTTTTCTTTGAAGCCTCAACTGTAGGGGGTTTGTTAGCTAATTGATATCACTCACCAAGCTTCTCCATTTCCTTCTGCTTCATTTCATCTTCTTCAAAGACCTTCTTATTCCCTTCATACTGGTCAATCAAATCCATGGTCACTCGAACAACCTTTCTAAAATCAATAGATGACATATCATCTGAAAGATTGAGCTTTGCCTTGTCAATAACCTTATTCCAGAGCTTCTCAGGCAGCCTCTGAAGGAACCAAGACACCTTAGTGAATTCATCAAGCCTTCCATTGGCTTGTACTGTACTGGTGATAGTAGTGTATTCTTGAACATAGGTGTGAATGTTGCTATCCCAAGCACATGGTTTCTTTGTAATTGCTTAAAGATAATTCTGACAGTGAATCTTGTAAGTAATGTCCTGATCACAAAATTCATGAATAATCTCTTTAGAGAATACTTTCTAATTACCTTCCTTGTAGTCTTCTAAGGTCTTCATTCATTCTCCAATCCATGTAATACAGTATCTAGCCAACTGTTTGATAATGTTCTTAGGGTCAATTACCCCATGATCCTTGCACATTTGATAAAACCTTTCAATAAACAAGGTAGCATCTCTGCCATCAAACCAAGGTGCATTTGCTGTGCCAGGGGAAGGCATAGGAATGTGGGAGTGAACCACAATTCTCCTGTCCTCATCTTGTGACATAGTTGTGTATGATTCTGTAGTACCTTCAACCATAGTTGATTCTGATCCTGATTTCTTGATTTCTTGATCTTTGGTCATGTCACACAGTATGTTCTGTTGTTTCTCAATGATTCAATATCTTTCCAAAAAAACCTATTTATCAGGCAAGCTTTAGATAAGAGCCATTCAAATCTAAGCTCCCTAACCTTGTTCCTAAACAAAAACCTGATTAGTACTGTATTCCTAGTCCATAAGATCTTATCTTGAAATAGTGTATTGCTTCATGTGTCTCAGAATTTATTTTTCTTCCTTGGCAGCCACCAAATCACCGCATCATCATCTTCAGGTCTCAGCTTGGTCACCAAATGAAGCAGGATATGATGGGATGCCTTGTCAAAGTAGGTGAGTTGGTTGAGATGGTGAGAGCACAAGAAGGATGAAAAATCACAACATAGTAAGGATGGTAATGGCTGAGTAGTAAGAACAGAGAAGCATGCCTTAACAGATGCCTAAGCTCATAAGGAATAATAGTACTAAAGAGCCTGTACTAACACAGGCAGCTCTAATGAGAAACAGTGGCAAGCTTCATGAACAAGAGATCTTCATATTCTCTAACTAATAACCAAACTAGCAATAAAGAATGAGTGTGTGGAAAAGTACAAAGGTGCGCGAAGGTATTGAGCGAGATGCAGGGGCTATGGGTGGTTTATATAGCTCAGAGATAGTAGCTGGGGGGGTTTTGCGCCTCGGACCGGAACAACCTTTGTCCTAATATGGTACCGGAATCCCCACTACAGTATTCAGAACCGGGACAGGATCCCATTTCCCATTGAACCTGGTCCCCATCCTGAATTTAGAAACAGCCGGGATCCCAAATATGAAATCTCAGTTCCATGTTCCATCCCACTCAAGAGCTTGAGGTCCTGTTTCCATCCCTATCCCAGAAATTATTTCCCAGTCCCATCCTCAAATAGAAAATTATGTCCCACATCCCATTCCAGCAGAGATGGTAGACTCCCATTTCCCATTCTGGCTGGATCCATAGTGGGACTGGAATAGGACCAGGATTCCTGGTCCCATCATGTCAAATTCATAGGAAAGAGTCAAACTAATCAAATTTTGTGTGGACTGTTATCAAATTTCATTACTTTTTTAATGAAGGCGGAACCCATAGAAAAATTAATTTGATTATCAAAAGAAACAAAGTATTAAAACTAACTAATAGCTGAAGCCAGCAAACAAACAGGAACTACCTAAATAGCAAGTTAATTATCATCATTATTATCTTCATCATCATCATTGTCCTTCTTCTTTCTCTTCTTCTTCTTCTTCTCTTCCTTCTCCTGCTTCTCCAGAACCAGCTTTGTGAACCAGACAGAGGCTCTAATACCTGTCATTTGATGGGTGGAGACCCTGATGGTGCTGGAAGGAGGCAGGAAGGCAGCAGCAGTAGTTGGCAGGACAGGAGCAGCATGCAGGTGGTGGGTGGTGGCAGCAGGAGTGGAATGATCAGGCACATCAATCAGGCCAAAATAGTTTGACCTGATTTTGGCACTGATATCAAGAACAAGCTTCATATCATCAGCATTAACTGTAACACACTTACAGTGCACTATTGCCATAACAGAGCCTATATTACTCAGTATAATTGTTGGTGCCATTGCTAAGAGTGACTTATACTCAAACAAAGCACACAAGATTGCTTCAGCTGTCTTCTGAAGTAACTTAATGACAGTATATTGCCAGTAATATTCATGTTCTTGGTGACAGAACAAAGTAATTTTCCAAATCAATTACTGGAACAGGGCCACCAGCAAAATTAGCTCAGTAGAGCTCTGGAAGTGGCAGATTTTCTTGATGACATCTATTTTCACCAATTAGCATCAAGACTGTTACCAAAAATCATTACTTTTTGACATACAAGTGCCAGTCTTCCAATTTTGAATGAGGGGGCAGGGGCAGAAATTCTTCTGGTCAAAGTTAATCAGATTAATATCTTTATTGGCTTTACACCAATTGCCCTTCTTCAGAGCCCATTCTTTCAATGCAGTCTTGTGCTGCTCCTCTCCAGCTGTACAAAATGGACATGCACAGGGAAAATTAACATCTTGTCAGTAAACAATATGCACCAGAGCAGTATTCTGCAAGCACTCATCTCTTAACACAACCTATTTTGTCACAGTATATGTTCATTATACACACAGATGTTGAAGCACAGTAAATAAAAAGATGGTGTAGAGAGGAAGAGGGAAAGAGAATCATCAATATTAGCCCTGAAGAGAAAGAAGAAGAAGAGAAAGAGAAAGAGAAGAGAAGAGAGACTGACCTGATATTATTATTCTGTAGCCAGCATAGCAACAATGTGTTGATCTTGCTCATAGCAACATGTCTGTAGAATGTAAACAATATGTATAGTAATTATTCTACAGTACTTGATCAATACACTCTATAATTCCATTATTCTGTAGTCAGCATAGCAACAATGTGTTGAGCTTGCCCATAGCAATGTGCCTGTAGAATGTAAACAATGTGTATAGTAACCATTCTATGCAAGTACTTGATTAATATACTCTATAATCTCATTATTTTGTAGCCAGCAATTCAACTTATTGCATACAATTGTGAAGATGGGGCCAAAACAATATTCAATAAGAGAGAAGACCCATACAGCATGAGAGCACCACCAGGCCTTGGAAGATCATCAAAAAGACATATTCAAGACAGGAGAGATGGATCACAAGACATGCCATGATGTGCTGAAGAGGATTCAAGCAAAACATGAGTGGTATGCACCCTCAGTAATTTGTGTTAAATCATATTGACATTCATTGCAGGCAGAATAACAGCAAGAAGGATCACAAGATGATTGAAGATAAAGTCATTAAAGAGTTGATGACCAAGCAATTTGTCAAGAGCAAGTCAAAGAAGTATCATAAGCATCAGCTCATGGTCTCTCAGCAAAAGAAGAGGGAGAAAGAGAAGAAATGTTACTGAGAAGAGATTACAGAGACTGAAAATGAAGCTCAGCAGAAAAAGAAGGTAGAATTCAAAAGTAACAAAATTTGGTAATGATTCTGACATATTTAGGTCAAAACAAGCCAGGTGCAGCATTCTATTGCTGTATGTAGGGAGGCCTGATTCTGCCAAATAATAGCCAGACTTGAGGTTAAGATCATGGCTCATGGTCATGATTATCTTGCTGCAGTCAGTGTATTGAGAGAGAGAGTTAAGAAGAAGATGAGAGGATTTCTGAATTAATTACAGAGTCTGAGTAAAGACAACAACAGCTCACCTGCTTCAGAGAAGGTAGAGAAAGATGATTTTAAGATTGTGGTGTCCTCTGATAAGAATGATGAGAAGAATAATAAGGTGGAGAATGATTGGATTATTAATATCTAGAGAAGAAAGTTAGGTTTTTAGTTCTTTTTTCATATTAATTTGAGAATGGGGTGCTATTAAATTGGCAAAATGTTTTATTTTCCTGAAGAAGAATGTTCCATTTTGTAGAAGAAGAAGATTTTGTAGTTGGTTGCTGTACTTACAGAGTAAAATGAGGCTAACTATCTAGAGATTGTCAAATTTTGTGTGGGCTCTGACCACATTTTGTTACTTTTTTGACTAAGGCAGAACTTAGAGAAAAATTAATTTGATTGTGAAAAAAAAAAAAAAAAAAAGAAAAATCTAATGGCTGAAGCCAGCAAACAAGCAAAATCTACAGAGATTTCTTCAGAATTGACCATAGTTTAACATGAAAAAAAACAATTTGTATTGTGGAAGGAGCTGCATTATAAGTTGTTTGTTACTTGATGGTTGACTACTGAAGCTGCTCAGTTGATTAATAATAAGAAGCATGGTGACTCTAACTAGAAGGCAAAGCAACACCATTCTGATTTTTGGTCAAAATTTGATCAGGTGGCAGAGCATTCTAAGAGCACTTCAGAGATGATTTGCAAGCATTGCCAAATCTTTCTCAGTCATTCAAGCTTTTCTCAAAACAGTACAAGTGGTCTGAAGAAGCATTTAATAAGCAAAGATTGTACAAAAACTAATGACAGACAGAATAACACTCTGGTTAACATGATAGTAGATCATGAATCCTAATTTCCCAAATGTAATGAATTTTAGTAACAGTTCTGGTGTCTTAGCAACAGTTTCTGAAGTGTTCTTGAACAGATTCAGATCTGCCTGTTCCTGAATGTAATTAAGACAATTTCCTCCAGTAGCTTGTGCAAACATTAATATTCTTGAATCTCTTATTTTGTGCTATTGAGAATCCAGCATTCTGCATATTAATAACCATGCTCAATCCTGCAATGGCTTTACAGATACCCACACAAGGAACATTATATCAGATCATGAATAATATGTACAATCAGCTATTCTGAAATCTTCTTTTTGACTATGACTCAATAATCAAGGTATCTCTGGCAGTAGATAATTGAACAAGTCCCAATAATCTTGTCTTTATGACAATTAATGGTTATTACATTACAAAGAATTGGAAGTACCATGAGCATTTACTGGGTTTTGAAAGTTTAGAGGATGCTCATACTGGCAAGAATATGACAGAGATTCTCCAACAATCACTAGCAGTATGAAGGCTTGAGAGCAATCTTCTTGCAATTATAAGTAATAATGTGTCAAACAATGATACCATGCAAGCACATCTTATACATCAGTTGAGGCCAGCATTGCAGCAGTTAAATAAGACAACTGATTGGAATACAGAGAGTGAAACAATACTCTGTCTTGCTTATATGATTTAACTTGTGGTTTGAGAGCTGGTTTGCAATCTCAAGATTCAGCCAGACAATAATGCTCTACCCACTATCTTTAATGAGAGCTCAATTACTGATGATCTAGCATCAACAGACACATTTGCAAATACTCTTAGAAAGATAACAAAATTTGGTAACAGTCTTGATATACTTGAGTTGATTTACTAATCTTTGCTTGACAATAGATTTATCTTGTTGCCAATGCAACCAATGCCTCCTCCCAACTCACTGCATGTTTCCAAGAATATCAACAAGAGAACCAGTGCAAGATGATTCAAGATGTTCACACAAGATGGAATTTCATCTATAAGATGTGTGTTTGTGTCTTGTTGCTTCAACAAGCTGTGGACTCATGGATTCAGGACTCATCACCAAAATACCAAAGACTTTGCTTATTGGACCATGACTGGAAGCAGCTAGAGTATATGGTTGAACTATTGCAGTCATTCAGTTGATTTACCAAGATACTGTTCAAAACAACAGACCCAACAATTTATCTGGTATGGGCAATATACAATCATCTTTTCCAGCATTTAGAAAGAGAGGAGGACAAGACTTAACAGTTGACAACAAGAGAGAACATTCAAGAAGCTATCAAAGCTGCCAACTTGAAATTCCAGAAATACTATAGTGATACTGAGTATCTAAAGAGTGAGCTGCTAGCTGTAGCTGCTGCTCTTCATTCATCATGCTGCATGAGAGCATATGATTCAGAGAATTAGATCAGTGATGAGTGTGAAACATACTGACAATATATTTTGAGGTTTTACAAAAAGTATTATGAGAAATATGAACAGCCAAGAGAAGTAATACTTAATGTGAATGATGTATGTTTATTATAAGTATTATTCTGATTTCTTCTCTGCTAACTTCTCTAGAATATTGAGCAAATGATTTTTGAGAGACCCCATTAAAGACAAGCAAATTTCCAAAATGAAATGGAGTGATATTTAAATGACAAGAATTTGACATCATCTCAAGCTCCAATTCTGGAACAGTGAAGAATGCTAGAGCCTGATTTTCCAACTATTGCTTGGATGGCAAGGGACATTCTGGCTATATCTTTAACAGAAGTTAGGGTAGAACAGGTTTTCAATGTTGCTCAGAATACATATCATTATTAACAATTGCAGCTCCATGCATCTACAATCAAGAAGATCATGCTGCTTAAACATGGAGATAAGATACATATGCTGAATGAAGCACTTATATCACATGAGAAGTTGGCCAAGAAAGTCATTCAAGACAATCAAGATGATCAAGATACCTCAGAGATTGTACAGAAAGAGATTGCAAGCCTGCTAAATCCACTACTCAATCCAGATGAGAAACAGAAAATACATCAATGTTATTAATAGATAGACTCAAGTAGCTAATAGCTTGCAATATGATCCAATTATGCAAAGAGCATTACCAAATTTCAGTACTTTTCTGAAGTTGAATAAATTGATAAAATTATGTTAGAACCATTACCAAATTTCATTACTTTTTGACAATACAAATGGGACCAGAATTTCCAGTCTCATTCTACACTTTACTGGTTCTGTCCCATATACAATATTGAAATCCTGGTCCTATCTTATTTTGTCATGTCAGGTCCCGGGCCTGTTCTACTAGCTAGATTTTGATTCTGGTCCCAATCCCATCCCAATTCCAGTTCCCATGGAACTGTCCCAATATGCTGTTAAACAACCTGGTCCCATTCCATTAAGCTGAGCTTCAACCTGATCCCATCCTCAGGACAGGAATTGGGACGGGAATCTGGGACCGGGACAGGAAATTCTGGAACCAGATACCACTCTATCCATTTCTAGTCCTTGATCAAATATGTACAAAGTGGGCAAATCTCAGAGAAATGAAACATCCCAGGTGCATAGTAGAAA